AAAAAAAAAAAAAAAAAAAAAAAAAAAAAAAAAAAAAACTGATTGGGATGTTGTATGTGTGTATCTGAAAATATATAAATATATATGAGTGAAAATATATTCAGATAGAGATAAAAATACATTTGAGAATTACACAAAAATATATTATTTATATATAATCTGAAAAAAGCATAAAAGGAGAAAAAACAAAGGTCACAACAGCAACATCTCTTACAATCTCAAAAATAACAGGAGCTACCATTTACTGAGAACCTACCATGTGCCACGTGTGAGGAATAAATAATGTATATAAAGCACCAATCACTTTAACATTTCCATTTCCCAGCTAACTACAATGAGACTCAGAAAAGTAATGCTTTCAACGTCACAAAGCAGTGATTTGTAGAACCAAAATGTGTGTGACCTTAAGCTGGGGCTTAATGCAGAAACATATGGCTTAACTGTCAACAATGATTTTCACTAAAATTATAGGTTTTTTTTTTTTGAGACAGGGTCTTACTCAGTTGCCCAGGCTTCAGTGTAGTGCTTCGATCAGCAGACTCAGCCGCTGGGGCTCAAGCATTTCTCCCATCTTAGCCCCTCAAGTAGCTAGGACTACAGGCATGCACCATCCCCACATCACACCTGGCTAATTTAAAATTTTTTTTTCTTAGAAATGAGGTCTCACTATATTACCCAGACTGATCTCAAACTGCTGGGCTCAAGTGATCCTCCAACCTCAGCCCCCTAGAGTACTGGGATTACAGGCATGAGCCACCACGCCCACCCTGGCCAAAGTATAATCTTTTAACATCAAATTAATAAGATATGAATTATTATATGACATTAAATAAGGATGAAGAGAGAAGGTTAAAAAATATACACAAAAATTTCAAGACCTCTTGAAGTATGAAGTCATCTCCACTGTCCTATGAAGGTCCTTGTGTATTACTACCTTAAAAATAGTTCCCTACTAAATGCATACATGACAAAAGCAAACAGATCGATTGTCAACCTAATAATTTTCATAGAACAGATAATAGGACTCACATGTCTGTAAGATATTGTGCAGATTAAAAGCAGGATTGACACTATTATCCTCAGAAAGCCAGCCTGCTTGTAAGGCTGGTCTTTGGCTGGCTCCTGGGCACTTTGATTTTTTGAGGGTTCCCACTATTCCCTAATAAGACATGGTTCGCTATGCCTGAATCGTTTATGAAACAATATGGTATATGCTGAACATCTGCCTTCCTCCCAGGAGTCTGGAATTTTGGTACATACTATGTAGCCACTGTCTATGTGACCAGTCCCAAATAAGAACCCTGAGCAGAGTTTATAAGGAGCCTAATCCCCACGTGTTGTTTAGTTCATTGCTAGGGGAATTAAGCACATCTTGTGCAATGCTAAAGACTCTGGAAGCTTGTGCTTGTTTTCCACTAGATTGGCCTCGTATACCTTTTCCATTTGCTTTGCTTTGTATCCTTTTGCTGAAATATGCCAGGGCCATGAGCAACATTATAGGCAGAGTCCTATGAGTCCTCACAGAGAAGTCATTTAAACTGGGAGTGGTCCTGAGGACTCCCAACACAAAGATTAGGACTCCGATCACAAAGACAGAGAAAATAAAACTCAGTTTAGTTATTCCTCTTACGTGTTTAAACAACCTGTAAGGTACAACACAAATCCTTACCTCTTCTTTCTTTATATCTTTTTCTTGGTGTGGAAAAAATTCTACCTTCAGGCTTCCTGATGATGGCTGCTCTGGAGGAGGTAGGTAACTCTTTGTATTCACAGCATCGAAAAGTTTTTCCACAAATATCTGTGTCTCTAGAAATAAAACCAAACACCATAGATTAAAAGACATTAATTCCTCCTTCTATATATCTTATCTCTAATATGATGAAATACACTTTTGACTTTTATAAATCTAGAAAATATACTAATATCGGCCAGGCATGGTGGCTCACATCTGTAATCCCAGCACTTCGGGAGGCCAAGGCAGGTGGATTACCTGAGGTCAGGAGTTCAAGACCAGCCTGGCCAATATGGTGAAACCCTACCTCTACAAAAACACAAAAATTAGCCAGGTATGATGGCAGGTGCCTTTTGGGAGCTACCTGGGAGACTGGGGCGGGAGAATCACTTGAACCTGGGGGTTGGAGGTTGCAGTAAGCCAAGATCGTGCCATTGCACTCGATATTGTGCCACTGCACTCGAGATCACACCGTTGCACACCAGCCTGGGCAACAGAGCGAGACTCTGTCCCCCTAAAAAGAAAATATATTAATAGCAATAGCTTCCCAACCAGTTTGTCACGGCACACGTCCTGAGGCAATATTGATTCAAGTTATTTTCAGGATGGTAAGGACCGGAATAGTTGCAGCCTCTAGGACAGTCACCTCCAGCCATGACTAGTCTTCTCCATGTAGCTTACTCAGCGTGCCAAACATGAACACTATCATTATCTAGATGTGGCAAGGTGCAAAAAACTGAAAAGCAATGTGCTAGGTAAGATTCAAAGCAGCTTCCTAAGCACTATTAGCTTTAAATAAATAAGCATTCAGTTGTTTTCTTAACATTTTCACCTATGTAAGAAAAAATAACAACATGCTTAAATAAGCACATGGACATTACTGAGAGGTGGCGTCCATTTTAAATAAGCTATGGGTATACTCAATAATAATATTTAATTTTGCTAAAATTAGGGCCTCTTACCGAGTTCCTTTAATATTCTGTTGATAATCTTATTTTAAATAACATTTTTTTTCTTTCTTTTTTTAAGACAAGAGTCTCACTCTGTCACTCAGGCTGGAACACAATGGCACGATCTTGGCTCACTGCAACGTCTATCTCCTGAGTTCAAGCAATTCTCCTGCCTCAGCTTCCCGAGTAGCTGAGATTACAGGTACTCACCATCATGCCCAGCTAATTTTCATATTTTTTGTAGAGAAGGGGTTTCACCATGTTTGGCCAGGCTGGTCTTGAACTCCTGACCTCAGGTGATCCACCCACCTTGGCCTCCTGAGTGCTGGGATTACAATGTGAGCCAATGTGCCCAGCCTTAAATAACTTTTTAAAATATAGTCGTATTTTCAAACCAAAGATCTTACCTTTCTGAAGAAATACATCCAGCTGATCAATACATAATGCCTTTAACTCTTTTTCACTTTTGTCTTTCTTTACCAAAGCCAGAACATACTTTGCTAGGGCAGATGGATCTGCATCACAGCTAAAGAAGAAAACAATGTTAAAAAAATTTTAGCCAACTGCACATTCCACAAATTCTAGTTGCAAACTGAATTAGTGAGAATGATAATAGTTAAGTGAGTTAATACACGTAAAAAGCACCTGGGTCATGGAGTACAATGAAGAAATTTAAGTTCTTCTCTTTACACTAACACTCCTTAATGCTATGTGTAGCTATTTTATTTCTTAAAAACATACCCATCAGTATATTAGTTTAAACAGTGAAAAAAGAAAGCCTAGAAATAGATCCAAATACACTAGGAATTCAGATTTTATAAAAGTGACATCCAAACCAACAAAGAAGAGATAAATTAAGCAATAAACAGTATTGAAGCCAGACACAGTTACTCAATCCTGTAATGACAGCACTTTAGGGGTCCAAGGTGGACAGATCACTTGAGCTCAGGAGTTCAAGACCAGTCTGGGCAAAATGGGGAAACCCAGTCCCTACCAAAAAAAAAAAAAAAAAAAAAATTAGCCACTCATGGTAGTGTGTGCTTGCAGTCCCAGATACTCAGGAGGCTGAGGGGGAAGAATCATCTGAGCCTGGGAGTTCAAGGCTGCAGTGATCTGTGATCACATCACTGCATTCCACCCTGGGTGACGAAGTTAAGACCCTATCTCAAAAAGAGAAAAGAAGAAGTACTGAGACAACTTGGCAGTTACCTTTTACAAAATGAACTTGGAAACACATTAGAGGAAAACACAATTTATTTAATCCTGGAGTAAGAAGGCAAAAAATCCATGCATCAAAAAAGCAATGTGATTACATTAAGGGGGAAAAAAAAAAAAAACACCTCAGAATGAAGAGTCAACAGACAAATGAAAAACAAGCTCAGTTTATCTTATCACAAAAAGGCTAATTCCCCTAACCCAAAATGTTTCTATACCAAGACCAACATTGTAAGAGAAAAAACACAACGGATATGAATAGATATTAAACTATAAAAACAGTAAAAATGACTTTAAATGAGTAAAACTTCAACCTCACCCATAATACGCATTTAAGTTATACTGAAATATTTTTCAGTTATCAGGTTGGCAAAATCCAATAAATACAAAAATGTATTCTGGTGGCAAGACTAAGGAACAAGCAGTTTTAAAAATGAGCTGGTGTGAATAAACTGGTAGCTGACAGGGAGAATATTCTGTCAGTATGAAGGTCACAAATGCAATTTATGTCTATGAATTTATTCTAGAGATATACTCACATGTTCAAAATGGCATGTGTACAAGTTATTCATTGTGATATTGATTGTAAAATCAAAAATGTGCACATGTCCATTTAGAGAAGACTGGAAAAATAAACTGTATTAAAATCCAACATGTAGCAAAAGGACACAAGAAAAAGGTAATGAAGTTTTCAACCCTTAAAAAAAATCTTCATATCAATTTATTAAATTTAAAATGCAAGACAGAGAAAAGATTTGTATAGTATTTCCCATTTGTGTTGGGGGAGAAGAGAAATCTGGCTTATACATATGTGAAAGGATAAATAACGAAACTACAGCTGTTTGGGCAGGATGATAGTAGGAACTAAGTAAAGGAGGGACTGGGTCAGAAGGGAAAGTTTTTTTTTAAAAAATAACTTTATGTATTCATAGGGTACAATGTTGATATTTTGATACACTGATATGCAATGTGTAATGAACAAATCAGCATAATTAGCATATCTATCACCTAAAACATTTATTTGTGTTGGGAACATTCTTCTCTTCAAGCTATCTGAAAATATAAAATTAACTATAGTTACCCTACAGCGCTAAACAACACAAGAACTTACTCCTCCAATCCAGCTGTAATTTTTTATCTGTTAACCAACCTCTCCCTATCTCCCTACCACCCTTCCCAGCATTTGGTAACCACTATTCTACTTTCTACTTATATGAAATCAACTTACTTAGCTTCCATATATGAGTGATAACATATAGCATTTATCTTTCTGTGCCTGGTTTATTTCAATTAACATAATGTCAGGACGGAAAATTTTTGACGTCTGAACCATTTTCATCCAATTCAAAAAAATGATATAATTGTTTATAAGTTAAAATAATAATGTAAGATTTTACAAGTCAGAGTAAATAACAATAAAATAATAGCAGGAATTACTAACACCTAGTTTGTGCCGTGAACTGCGCTTCTAAATTTACATACTATATTGGGCTCTTACTTTACTGATAAAGAAAGAGGCTGAGAGAAAAGCTAAGCAGACTGCCCAAGACTATATAGCAAGGATCAAGGTTTAAAATTAAATCTCATACTCCAAAGTCCACATTCTTAACCACCACACTAGACTGCCTCTTACAAAGTGCCAGAAACCTGACTTCCAATTTCCTTTTTAAACACCTAGTTACAGCCACTCCCTATTCACCTAATTACTTCTTTTAACAGTTCCTGTGCTCACCTCTTCTGTACTCTCTCTCCTTCTCAGTTTAATTTTCAAAGACCATTATTTCAAGCAGTTTCTAAACAATGCCTCAATCATGTATGACTCCTTGTCCTCTTACCATCCTTTCATCTACCCAGCTGGGCAAAATGCCAACCAAGAATCAACCTCTCAGCTTAGATTTAATTTCATAGCTTGGTAGCATAAAAACAATGGCTTAATTTCACACCAATAACATACATGAGGTAAGTAAATAAGATTTTCCAAGGATACTGATGATAAAAAAATGATTAACAATAATAGCTTTAAAAAGATATAATAAAACCAGGTGCTGTGGCTCACGCCTGTAATCCCAACACTTTGGGAGGCCGAGGCGGGTGGATCACGAGGTTAACAGATGGAGACCACCCTGATCAACATGGTGAAACACCGTCTCCACTAAAAATACAAAAAATTAGCTGGGTATGGTGGCGTGTGCCTGTAATCCCAGCTACTCAGGAGGCTGAGGCAGGAGAATTGCCTGAACCCAGGAGGCGGAGGTTGCGGTGAGCCGAGACCGCGCCATTGCACTCCAGTCTGGGTAACAACAGCGAAACTCTGTCTCAAAAAAAAAAAAAAAAGATATAATAAAGATACTAGGAAATCACAGTAGGAAGATGACTACAAATGAGCACGGGGAAAGATAGTAGTTCATTTGAGGAAAAATAGATACATACATGATATATTTGACATGACACCCTTCAATCCGCTTTTACTGCTTATTTGTTAGCAATTTTAACTAATAATAAACACAAAAATAATAAACACAAAATAGAGATTCTACATGTTCTACCTAAAGTTGAAATGGAGAATGTTAATAAAATAATGAATACACATTAAAGAAAGCTAGCAAATACCACAAGACATATAGAAAACATCTCTACTCCTATATGTTTCTGGCATATAATAGTTCTATAAGAGTAAAGAGTAACATAAGTCATTGAATCAAAAAGTACACCTTAACGAGTGTACGGCTTTGTTTGCACAGAATCCGTACTGAGAAACTTGACTGTAAGTCAATCAACAGGCCAATTCAACAGTTTTTATTTTGCTTTATTATAAAGACCACAAAGGTAACTGATAAAGTGTCAGAGATAAGAGCTACTTTCTTAAGGAACTAGTACAGTTTACTGTACATGCTGTAAGACACCCTTGATCAACATCATTGTGGTTGTTTTACAGTACATCCTCAAATTCTTCACTCCTCCCTTCAGAAAGGTAGAACCTAATTTCCTACCCTTTGAGCACAGACTCAATTTAGTGACTTGTTTCTAAGAAATCACCTGCTATGCCCCAAGGACACTCCAGCAGCCTTATGGAGAACACTATGTGGCAAAGAAATGTGGCCTTCAGCCAACAGCTAGCAAGAAACTGGGGCCTCTTATCAATAGCAACATGTGGGCAAGCTTGTAAGCAGATTCCACAGTCCCAGCACAACCTTAAGACTATAGCTGTGCCCAGTAGCTTGACCACAATCTCATAAGGAACACTGATTCAGAAATACCCAGCTAAATTGCTCCCAAATTCCTGACCCATAGAAACTATAAGATAATAAATATATGCTGTGCCACTAAATTTCAGGGTAATTTGTTACTCAGCAATCATGGATCAACTTTTCTTGTAAATCTATTAACATTTATTTACAAAGACTTTAATAATACAGAGATTTTTTTTTAAAGACTTTCACTTTTTCTTCCAAAAATTTAATTCAATATATTTATTTCAACATTTTTTTTAACTTATTTATTTATTTTTAAAGACGGGGTTTAACCATGTTGGTCAGGATGGTCTTAAACTCCCGACCTCAGGTGATCTGCCCACCTTGGCCTCCAAAGTGCCTGGATTACAAGCGTGAGCCACCATGCCCGACCTTATTTCAACATTTTAAAATATGATTTACGATACATTAAATTTTTGTTTTATCATAATGAGCATGGAAATACTCAGATCTATGATGAAGTAAGCATGAAGAATTGGAACAATAACTTTTTGATATATCTAGAGATATAATTACGTCTGGCCATCTGGTAATGCTGTATGAGACCATGAAACAGATAAACTGAATAAGCACAATCAACCAGACATCAACCAAACTAGACATCAAGTTAAACACATTTCAATTTACTGGAAATCATTATGATACATAATACTATTACTGTGTTTTATTGCAACTGCTGTAAATAAATTCAGTCTATACTGAGTCTAAATGCTGTAATTTGATCTAATATTGGTTTGTTGTAGTAAATTTTCAACTTGTTAGTGGTTTTTCCAGTAAGTTATCTGTCATTTTTCATTTCTCTCAATGAAATACATCTGTTTCATTCTCACATCATTATTTTTTAAATGGGACACTTAAAAATGAATTAAAGTGGGGGCTGGGCACGGTGGCTCACACCTATAATCCCAGCACTTTGGGAGGCCGAGGCAGGTGGATCATGAGGTCAAGAGATCAAGACCATCCTGGTCAACAAAGTGAAACCCCATCTCTACTAAAAATACAAAAATTAGCTAGGCATGGTGGCGTGTGCCTGTACTCCCAGCTACTTGGGAGGCTGAGG